ACACAGACACAGACACAGACACAGACACAGACACAGACACAGACACAGACACAGACACAGACACAGACACAGACACAGACACAGACACAGACACAGACACAGACACAGACACAGACACAGACACAGACACAGACACAGACACAGACACAGACACAGACACAGACACAGACACAGACACAGACACAGACACAGACACAGACACAGACACAGACACAGACACAGACACAGACACAGACACAGACACAGACACAGACACAGACACAGACACAGACACAGACACAGACACAGACACAGACACAGACACAGACACAGACACAGACACAGACACAGACACAGACACAGACACAGACACAGACACAGACACAGACACAGACACAGACACAGACACAGACACAGACACAGACACAGACACAGACACAGACACAGACACAGACACAGACACAGACACAGACACAGACACAGACACAGACACAGACACAGACACAGACACAGACACAGACACAGACACAGACACAGACACAGACACAGACACAGACACAGACACAGACACAGACACAGACACAGACACAGACACAGACACAGACACAGACACAGACACAGACACAGACACAGACACAGACACAGACACAGACACAGACACAGACACAGACACAGACACAGACACAGACACAGACACAGACACAGACACAGACACAGACACAGACACAGACACAGACACAGACACAGACACAGACACAGACACAGACACAGACACAGACACAGACACAGACACAGACACAGACACAGACACAGACACAGACACAGACACAGACACAGACACAGACACAGACACAGACACAGACACAGACACAGACACAGACACAGACACAGACACAGACACAGACACAGACACAGACACAGACACAGACACAGACACAGACACAGACACAGACACAGACACAGACACAGACACAGACACAGACACAGACACAGACACAGACACAGACACAGACACAGACACAGACACAGACACAGACACAGACACAGACACAGACACAGACACAGACACAGACACAGACACAGACACAGACACAGACACAGACACAGACACAGACACAGACACAGACACAGACACAGACACAGACACAGACACAGACACAGACACAGACACAGACACAGACACAGACACAGACACAGACACAGACACAGACACAGACACAGACACAGACACAGACACAGACACAGACACAGACACAGACACAGACACAGACACAGACACAGACACAGACACAGACACAGACACAGACACAGACACAGACACAGACACAGACACAGACACAGACACAGACACACACACACACACAATGGTGGAGAGGCTGTGGGCCGACTGCTGGTGAAGAATGACTGAGGTCTGTTAGACACATTGTTTTAATTGCGATGTGAAGATGCACCAGCTGGGCTCTGGGAGGAGCGGGAAGGTTATCCGGGGAGGTCGGGATGGGAATTTTTAGGGGGGAATTCTGTCCAGAGGAATGCGCTGTAACCCGATCTGTAAATGAAGAGAATCAAAGAGTATTAACAGCGTTTCGCTGGCCCTCGCTGCCCCGCGGCCGAGGCCACAGGTGTTTGGCAAATACTGTGTTTTGTGAAGGAAAAGCTGCAGGCTGTGTTTATGTCATCATTCCTGTCTGCGACTCACTCTCTCCCCTGCAAACTGGAAAACCGGAGGAATGCAACAAAATGCACTTGCTATTCCTTCAAACTCCCTTTTCTCACTTTTTTCTTGCATTTTTCTCTACTTGGCTTTTGGGACAGAATGTTCTTTCTTCAGAACAACTCTCTCTCTTTCATCTGCTAAATTTCTCATGGAAAAGAATCTACATATTCTTTATAATATTTATTTATAATAAAAAAATATAATTGCATATATTATATTAATCATATTATCTTTTTCTTTTTAATTATTTATTTGTAAAAATTTAATAGAAACATATTTAAAGATATTAAAGCAGTATTTAAAAAAAGAATTATATATATATATATAGCCTATATGATACATGATGGATTCTGTAAATCATATATATGTATATGTATATATGTACTGTGTATATATATATATATATATATATAACTATATATTATAAAAAAATTATATATTATATAAAACTATTAAATTAAGTTGTTTGTTTTACTTTTTTCTCCTAATATGGAATGAAATGAAATGTACAACAAATTGAGACTTTTGCTTAATTTGTTTTTCTCCTTAGAAAAAAAACTCACAATAATCTCACATGTGTTTTGTGTTTCAGAAGAGATCTCAACAGCGTCTCAGACTGAGCTCAGATCTTCCAACACAGCAAAATCTGCAGTCCCAGGTAAGAGATCTCAATATGAACTCAAGCATTCCTCACCAGACTCTTCTGAAGATCGTCTGCGCTGATAGACGAAGCTCAGACTAAGCCGGGATGAATGTCGTTCTCTGGTTTCTGTCCATCACGTGACCGCTAATGCTTCACAGAGTGATCTCTGACGTGTTTTCAATCCTTTCCCATCTAATCACTAATTGCGGTATGATATCCAAACACTTCCCATGGTAATTCCACTGACCCAGATAGACCCGGCTGGCCTGACGCTAACGAGGAGGAGATCCATTTGATCCTTGATTAAATCTGCGGCCACAGATCAGTGTTCACTGTCTGAGCTTTAACCCCTCAAACACAAGAGAGCTTCACGTTACACATCAACATCGCATGTAGATCTGCTCCTGAACAACATCTCAAATCTGCTTTGCCGTGTATCTGCGCGTGTCTCCAGACATCGAGAGTCACGGGCTTAAAGGCTTAGTGTGCATCCTCATTGTGTCAGAATTAAGATGTTTTAGCATTGTGTGCTTCAGAAAGAGACTTGTGCATTAATCTTCATCTCCTCGGGAGGAACTTGCTTTATTTGTTTTGCTTAAAGGGACAGTTCAAGCAAAACCAGTATCCATTCACCATCATGTCTTACAAAAAATAGCTGTAAAGACACCATAAAAGCAGTTCTGAACTCATATGATGCTTTATTTGAGGAACAGACTCAAATTTAAACAGATAGTTCACCCAGAAATTACATTTGCTAAAAATGTGCTCACGCTCAGGCCATCCAAGATGTAGATGAGTTTGTTTCTTCATCAGATTTGGAGAAATGTAGCATTGCATCAGTGTCTCAGCAATGGATGCTCTGCAGTGAATGGGTGCCGTCAGAACGAGAGTCTGATAAAAACGGCGTCTGTCCAGGGCGCCCAGCTACGTCGTGTTATACTTGTAAGAATTGTTCTAGACATGCCGAAAATTTGACGCTACAGCACAGCAGCTCTTCTTCTTGGTTTTCTCTGATGCACTAACTCTGCAGCAGCACTTCTTCTTCATCGTCTCGTCTGATGCACTCACTCAATCAAGCGTTCTAACCACAACCTCGCCCCTCCCCACCCCCCAACCATTCCAATTTCTGTAGGCGGGAATTATTGGAATGATATTCTAATGAGCCGCTTTGTGATATTACAAAGCCCGGAAAACAAACGCCGTAGTCCAAACGAGCCGTTCGTTGTAGTTCTTGAAAAGGGATTAAAAAAAAAACTAAATATCTCCCTTTGGAGTGGACTTTGAGATTTGTAACTTTCTAGATCTTTTTT